TATATATATATATATATATATATACATCCAAAGAACGAAACTCATTTTCTTCATCACCTCTCAGAGATCGAAACCCATTTCTCCATCATCTTGCCTCTCTCCATCGCCTCTCTATCTGTGCAACGAAGACCCACAAATGTCTCAACTCTGTTTGTGCAATGAAGACCGCATCTCTCTGTCGCCTCTGTTTGTGCAACAAAGACCCCAATGTGTCTTTCTCTGTCAATCTCTTCCCTATCGCACGGTTAGATTTGAGTTAGATCTGAGTTAGATTTGTTATAAGTATGTATATATACTTTAGATATGTATAGATTTAGAGTTATTTTTGTGTGTGTGTATGTGTGTAGATCTAAGTTAGATTTGTATAGAGAGTTGTTTATATACAAATTTGGAGTTAGATGTGTATAGAGAGTTATTTATAAATTAGAGAGATTTTTGCATGATTTTTTTCCAACAGATAAGGAATGTAGACATATATAACCAAAGAATGAAACTCATTTTCTCCATCGCCTCTCAGAGAACAAAACCCATTTTCTCCATCGCTTTGCCTTTCTCCATCGCCTCTCTGTCTGTGCAACGAAGACCCACAGCTGTCTCTCACCTCTGTCTGTGCAATGAAGACTGCATCTTTCTGCTGCCTCTTTCTGTCAATCTCTCGCCAATCTCATGGTTAGATTTGAGTTACATCTGAGTTAGATTTGTTAGAAGTATACATATATAACTTAGATATTTATAGATTTGGAGTTATTTATGTGTGTGTGTGTAGATCTAAGTTAGATTTGTATAGAGTTATTTATGTGTGTGTGTGTATAGATCTAAGTTAGATTTGTATAGAGTTATTTATATACAAATTTGGAGTTAGAAGTGCATAGAGAACTTATAAATTAGAGAGATTCTGTAGAGAGATTTTTGCATGATTTTTTTTTTCCCGCAAATAAGGAATGTGGTATGAAATCAGCTTTGTCTCTTTAGTTTTATGTTTTTTTCCATGTCTATGATCAGGTTCATTGCACAAACAATGGCGAGAGAATATATACGCACTATAGCTAATTGGTAATATGAATATCACTAAGAAAAATTCATTTGAAGAGTTATTAGTTGAGAGAGAACTATTAGTTGAAGAGTTATTAGTTGAGAATCTCTCCAATTTCCAAAAATTCATTTGCTTGCTCATCTTTTGGTACAAAAATGAATTCGAGTAAGGCATGTTTCAAATCAAGGGGATGTTTGTGTTAGAATATTAGAAACTATATCAAACTAGTGCAGATGTTTATGTTAGAATATTAGAAACTATTGAAGGTTGTAATAGATATCTCCCTCAAATCGGGTAAGGCATGTTTCAAATTAATGGGATCTTTCTTTACCACATCCGACATGCATTAGGCAATGTATTTTGGTTTCAATTTGTACTTGGAGTTGAAAAATGGACAAGTTATCGGTATATGAGATTTTTTTTTTTTTTTATCTTTCTTACTTTATGCATTTGAATTGAATTATGAATTATGATGTATGAATTGTGAATAAGCAATTTTATTGTTTTATTGTTTTTGGTTTTATGTTTTATGTAACTAGTTGGGATTTGAGAGGATGTTATAAGTTTGAATGTTTAAATTTTTTGAGTAGTTGTTGGAAATTGGTGTGTAGATGGAAAATGTTGTTGAAGTTAATATACATAAGGATGACGACGTTGTTGAGGTTGGTACTAAAAAAGCAGACGGCCCATGGACGTCTAAAAAAGAGGCAGTTTTTATTAAACTGATGGATTTAGAATTAGCAAATCGGCCTAAAGACACATCTACGTTTGAAAAGGATGCCTGAAACAAAATCATAGTGCAACTTAGAGCAATTTCATCATGTGTTGTGCATTACTGTTCTTGGTATTTGTACTAATTATTGGGATTTTAATGAAATAATTATGGTGTAGTCTGGTACTTGGTAGATTATTAACAATGGGTTGACGTATTGATATTTTGAATGTTTAATAACATCTCTTATTTTGGGTTGATGCATTGCGCCCTATTTTATGGGTTGATGGATGTATTGACATAAATAACATGGATGTGTTTTGCCAAGAATTAATATAAAGGTAAAATATATGATAGAAAATAAAATGATTACCAAATATGTTTTTTGTTTCAACTTTAAAACAAAAACTAATCCTGTTTTTTTTTTTTCAAAACATGAAAATGAAAACGTTACCAAATGCACCCTAAGTATTCATTTGCTTACAGGCACTCATAAACTTTAAAACATTTCAAAGATTTTTGTTGCAACTTTGGACGAGCACCGACAATTAACAATACCCCCAGCTAATTAAATTACTTGCATGTGGTTGGCCTATGATCTAACTTTCACATAAGGGAGCATATTAAAATATATAAATACTTATGAAATATCTTCTCTA